TTCACAACCTTATTTAAAAAGGTAGAAAATTTGAATGGACTCAAGAGTATCAAAGTAACTTTGAAAACTTGAAGCCAGTACTGACAATTCCACTCAATTTTAACCACGCTGAATTATGCAAGGATATTCAATTTGACTGCTAATCCCATTAATATCAGTGTAGGGGCTTATTTTACTGTTGGATGTCAAAATGGGGATTGAACAGCCTGTCAGTCTTTTTTTTAAAGTAACTGATTGCATGTCAACAAGAATATTCAACTATTGAAAAAGAGACAATGAATAGGTATAAGAGAGACTGTCTTATGAGGAGAGATTGAGTAAATTGGGCCTATACTCGCTGGAATATAGAGGAATAAGAAGTAACCTTACTTTAACTTATAAGATTCTTAGGAGACTTGAGAGGGTAGATGTCAAAGGGTTGTTTCTCTTTGTGGGAGAGTCTAGGACCAGAAGCTATAATCTCAGAAGGGTCACTCATTCAAGACAGAGGAGAGGGAATTTCTTCTCACAGAGGATTGTGAATCTGTGGATTTCTTTACCCCACAGAGCTGTCAAGGTTGGATTGTTGCACGTATTCAAGGCCAAGATAGAGTTTTAATCAGTAAGGGAATCCAGGGTTATGGGGAAAAAGCAGAAAGTGGAACTGAGGATTATCAGATCAGCCGTGATCTCATTGAATGGTGAAGACTCGATGGGCTGAATAACTCACTTCTGCTCTTTTGTCTTACAGTCTTATGGAGTCTTGTGTTGGATATATTCCACTTTTAAAGATACGTTAACAATAATATGGCCAAAACTGTTATTTATATGATCTAAACAATTTGATGTTCTAGGAAAAACGTCAAGATCTTGCATACATGCAAGTAGGCAAATAATGTTCTTGAAATTTAAATCACTCTTGTATGTTCCACTACTGAGGAACTGAGGACTAAGGATTTTGTTACTATTGGTGGGTGAGTAGTTGAATACCCAAAGTTAATCTCTGAAGTGGAGACTTTGCAAACAGAATTTCTGGACGTGTTTTTGGTAATGACTAGTGAAGCCTTGAACACTGACTGCTGGTTAATGGCAAGGTTGTTTTCCGAGATCCTATGATAATTTATATGGTTTAGTTCTTCTTTACTTATTCAGAATACGTAGACTTCAATGGCTAGGCTGGCATTTATTGCTCATCCTTAATTGCCCTTGAGAAAATAGTCATGATTTTCCTTCTTGAACCACAGCAGTCCATGTGGTGTAGATACACTTAGTACTAGTGGGAAGGAGTTCCAAGATTTTGACTCAACAATATTGAAGGAGTGACGATGTATTTACAAATCAGAACTGTGTGGGGCTTGGAGGGTACCTTGAAGGTGGTTGTATACCCATGCATTTGCTGCCCACGTTCTTCTAACTGTTAGAAGTTGTGTGTTTAAAAAGTGCTATTGAAGAAACCTTGGTTTATTGTTGTAATGCATCTTCAAAATGCACGCACTGTTGCTACTGTGCACCAGTGGTGGAGGAAATAAATGTTGAATGAAGTGCCAATCAAGTGGGCTGCATTGTTCTGGATGGTGTTAAGATTCATTAGTGTTGTAGACTGCACTCATCCAGGCAAGTGGAGAGTCTTCCATCACACTCCTGATTTGTGCCTTGTAGGTGGCTTTGAGGAATTGGAAGTAAGTTATTCATTGCTAAATTCCAAGTCTTGGATCTGTTTTGTATCCATGGTATTCGTTTAGCTTGTCCAGCTCAGTTTCTGCTCAATGGTAATCCCCAGGATGTTAATAATGGACGGTTCAATGATGGTAATGCCATTGGATAGCAAAGGATGATGGTTGGAAATGGTCATTGCCTGGTACTTATGTGGTGTGAATGTTACTTGCCACTTGTAAGCCCATATTTTAATGTGGTCCAGGTTATGCTGTACATTGTGCAGTCATCAAACATCCTCACCTCTGACCTTATAATAGAGGGAAGATCACTAATAAACCAGCTTAAGACAATTGGGCCTAGGAGACTATCCTGAGGGACTTCTGCAGTGATGCCCTGTGGATCAGATGATTAACTACCAATAATCACAACCATCTGACCCCAACGAACAGGGAGATTTCCACTTGATTTCCATTGATTCTAATTTGCTGGTTCTCCTCAACATCATGCTCAGTCAAATGTTGCATTGATATCAAGTGCAGTCACCCTAACTTCCTCTCAAGTTCAGCTCTTTTGTCCACGTTTGAACCAAAGCTGTAATGCAGTGAGGAGTAGTCTTGGCGAAGTGGAAACTGAGTATATGTTAGCAGGTTATTGCTAAGTAAGTGCTGCTTGATAACATCTTTTGTTCAATATCACACATCCAAGAATTGTTCTCTTGAAAAACAGGGCCTCCTGGGCTCTCCTTGTTGCTCCCTGGTTTCTGGGCCCCATTCTCTTTTCACACAGTGGATTCCCCTGTCCCTCTCCCCAACACTGAAGCTTACTTTAAAATCCCATGTGCAGTAATGCATTCGTGCATGATGTCATGTATAAAGTGTACATGGTGATGGCAGTGCTTGCAAATGCACATTCCCCAATTTATCTGAATGCATAGTTGCCTGCAGTTGGTATCAGCAATCATTCCTGCCTTTAGTCGAAACGGTTACAAATTTCCTGTCCAAAGACACAGGAGTTATCAGCAATCTAAAACCACAGAAATCAAGGCCCAATTTAAACTTGCAGGCACTTTGTTTAAGACTTTACACTAAATGATAGGTCTCAATTTCTTTCACTACAGCAAATGCCTCCATTAAAGACTCTATTGATAAAGATTACTGGCCAAACTAAGTTACTATATTCTACAAGACATTAATATGCTATGAAAATAATTGTAACAACATGTATCTAGAAAAAGTCCAATAAGATCTTTTAATAGCTCTGAAAACTGTAGAAATTCCTCACACTTAATTGCAATACATAATATTATGTACATAGTTGTATTATATAAAACCACGGCAGCAATAGTTTCACAAAATATTTTTACACTGAGAATGACTGACCTCAAAAGGCCTCTACCAGTAATTTATACCTTGCAGTCCCAAACAGTAACTGAAAAGTGATTTAGTTACTGTATATGTATAAATGCAATCTGTCCTCATATAGATCAACTGGAACTGTTTTGGTTTCTGGTGGTAGGGGAATTGGATCAGTGGGTGTGGTGTTAGAAGAACAGTTAGAAGTTCCAGACACCTTAGTTTATGCAATAATTTTCAAGTTTGCTTTAATGGAGCTGGGATATTTGCAGATGCTTGTTCAAGATAGGCCAAAGGGCCTTGAGCTAGATCTGCTGATTTTTTGGGCTGCACACTAATATCTTCCAAGACTTGTTGCCAGTGGCGCAGCTTGCTCAGATGTTTCTGGATTAAGGCCTCCTTTCTCTGTAGCTCATTTTTCAATTCAGAGACATCCTGTAAAAAGAACAGAAAAACTTTTGTCAAGTACAGGAATCTATGCTTAAACATTAATAAGGCACAATATGATTAGGAATATATTGTTGATCATATACATTGTGACTAGAATTTCCAAAATAAAAGTTGAGTAGAACAAGGCAGTGAAACTCAGACCCACTATACTTGTGCAGCTTTGTAATTGCTAAATCAACAATGAAACTAGGAACTGTCCTTCCTGAAGGTCAGGGAATGAGGAAAATTGGATGATATCAGAATCAGGGAGAAAACACACATGGAAATGATTCAATAAATATGTAGCACCACAGTGAAGAAGCAGAATTTGGATTGCAAGATTAATTTGGAAACATAGCAACACAAGGTATTTAGCCCATTAGTCGAATACGCCATTTAATTAGACCATTGCTTCTCTGTGTCCAAACTTCAGAAGATCATAACAGGAGGCCATTCAGCCCATTGAGCCTGCTCCACCATTTAATAAGTCATGGCTAATCCAATTGTGATCTTAAATCTAATTTTCTGCCTGCCCACCATAACACTCAACTTCATTGTCAATAAAAATCTTTAAGTCAGCCATGAATATATTCAAAGAATCCAGCTTCCAACATTCACTTAGGAAGAGAATTTCAAACACTAAAGGCAGTCAAAGAAATTTCTCCTCATCCCAGTCTTAACTGGGAGAAATCTTTATTTTTAAATTCTCCTAGAAAAGAAAGATTTCCCTTAGCATTTAAATTGTCAAGACCCCTCAAATCCCATGTTTCAACAAGATTACCTAATTTTTCTGAACTCCACTGAATATAGACATAATCTGCTTAACCATCTCTCATAAAGCAAGGTGTAGAGCTGGATGAACACAGCAGGCCAAGCAGCATCAGAGG